CTTCCTCCTCTGAAGCTCCCAAAAGCTATTGTGTCCCAAAGAACAGTGATCATGTGATCAGGGTAGTTGAACTTCATTGTCTCATCCTCTGCAGGTCTTGGAAAGCCAAAGATCTCATCCAGTTCCTTGAAGCTCATCTGGTATGGCTTACCATTGATTGTGAACTCTATGTTCCCAAGACCATTGCCCTCTTTGACCCTCTGATATTTGGGGCCAGATCCGCAAACTTCAAGAGATGCAAGAAAATCTTGTGTTACTCCTTCATGAGCCATATCTTTCATCTCAAAGAATCACCAAATCCCATATTGTTAAAAATCAGCTTAACCACTTCAAGTAGTCCCATCTTTGTCAGCAGCTCCATATCAGGAAACTTGGTTTGCAACACCTTCATATCCTTGAACATAGCATAATTATCCTCAAAAGTTGGTTCTTGGACTTCAGATTCTGACCCTTTCTTTACTTTCTTAGCCGGCTGCAATGCCACTTCAGGATCACTCGCAGTCTCGTCATCACCTTCAGCCACAGCTATCTCTTCTCCCTTCCTTTGAACACCTTCGACCAATGCCAACTCTTGACCTAGCCTTTGAACTAGAAGCCTTACTGCTCTTCGATTTAACCACTTTCTTTACTTGCTTCTCAGCCGGCTTCTTTGGCTTTCTTGTTCTCTTCTTTCTTTCAAAAACCTTTCTCCCAAATGGCAAGACTTGTTCCTCTGAAGTACTGGCTTTGGTTTGTTTGGCCTTCTCCATAGCAGCAGTTCTCTTGGTGCCTCCCAACCTGCATTTACTTAAGCACAAATGAGCACCAGACAAAAGAACAACAAAAACTGCAAAATTTTCACTAAGTTTCAATATTCCAAAAATCAATTTTTCTTCAAAAAATGGTTTCTCTAGCTAAACATGTGTTCACCAAATTCTCTGCAATGCCAAGAAATAATGCACAGCAGAAATTTAGCAAGAAACCCATTTGATTTGAAAAATCGACTTTGAAAGTGAGGTTTTACAATTTATCTTCAAAATTTAAGAACAAGCCATTCCACAAGCAAGAACCAAGTTTTTATGTGAAATCTACTCACTTAGAAGTAACAAAATTTGTCCCAAGGCATTTAACAAGCTATTAAAATCGATTCCACACATGGCAAGTTCAAAAATCACCATTGAAGCTAAGGAAAAAGACGAGTTTAAACAGATGAAATACCTTGGAATTTTCATGTTTCGAGCTAAATGTGATAATGCAGCAAGATAGATGACAGGAATATGAGTCCAATGCACTTTGAATTGCTCAATTTGAGTGAGAAATGAGAGAGTTATGAACTTTTGAAATGCAGAGATGGGGGTAAAAGAGCAAACTCGGGTTTTTCGGGAAGAAAGGTGTGTGTGGGTTGGAGACAGCTGGGGCCAGCTGTAAAGTACCGCGCTTTGACTGGTCAACTCTTTCATTTCAAAATTTTGGTCGTGCCCTGGGTGACCGTGTCACCGTACCGTGTCAAAAGCCGAAGACCTTGCCTTTTTTTTACTGCGGCCTGGAGCATCCCGTGTCTAACTCCCCTGGCAATCTCCAAAAAAAAAATTCACCTGACTGAATGTTTTGCCACGGTCTGGGCTGACCGTGTCATTCTCCCTGTGTCACGACCCGATCAGCAAAAATGCTAAATCTTGAACCCACCACGCCTTGGCCTAACTCGTGCCAGCTGCCCGTGCCAAAACCCGAAGGTTTGTGCTCGATCAAAGTGGAATTAACACGGCTTGTTGCTTCCCATGGCAAGGACCTGTGGCACGAAATGAGCTTGATTTCTGCTAAGTATCAGCATTGCCACGGCCTGGATTTCACCCGTGTGTCTTGCCTGAGGCACTTTCACAAGCTTGCGCGTTCCTGCCCCGGTCTGGTCTGGTCTCGTGTCTTCTTGGCGTGGCATTCTCCGAAGCATTTCTTTTAGACCAAAACAGCTTGCCACGCCCAGTTTCTAACCGTGACAAGTTCCCATGGCAACTTCCGTAGCATGTTAGACTAGGGACCAAGTGTTTGCCATGGCCAGAAATCAATCATGGCACTACCCCATGGCAAACAAAACTCTTAGCCCGTTTTGCATTTCTTGGCCTCATATTCACCTTTTCTCAAGGCCAAACTCCACCAAGTCCACCTAAGACCTGAACTAACTTCACAAAAGACATCAAAACATCCTAAAGAATAAAAAAAAAGGAAAGAAAAGATTAAAAATAAGTGTGTACAAGGATAAGCTTGGGGTGTCTCCCAAGAGCACTTGGTTTAATGTCACTAAGTTTGACTTTGAAAACCTGTTTAACAGGTTGGTGGGTCATCTAGAGGAACTGAAGAAGCTTCTTCTCTCATCTCTGAAACCAGGTAATGCTTGACCCTTTGTCCATTCACAACAAAACCCTTGCCATCCTTTCCTTCCAAAACCAATGCTCCATAGCTTCTAACCTCTAAAACCTTGAATGGTCCTAACCATCTTGACCTTAACATACCAGGAAAGAGCTTGAGCTTAGAGTTAAACAAGTGAACAAGGTCTCCCACCTTGAACTCTCTCTTAAGGATCTTCTGATCATGCAATATCTTGGTCTTTTCTTTGTAAATCCTTGAGTATTTCCTTCTTAACCACCTCTTTGAGGTTGGGGTTAAGGCGCCTCTGGTGCTCAATAGAGGACATGGATTGGTCCTCTAGGTGGATCATGTGGGTGCAAATATCAGGAGAGATCCCTCTAATGTCTGCTAGGAAATAACCTATTGCTCTCCTGAATTTTCTAAGTTCAATTAACAATGCATGTTCTTCATGAGCTAACAGGTTATCTTTGATGATGACAGGGTATGAAGAGTTAGGTCCAAGAAATGCATACCTGAGCCCTCTTGGTAGAGGCTTGAGCTCAACAGGAGGTGCCTTTGATTCATTCCAATCAGCACTGAAGCTGTCCTGCTCGGTTGTAGCTCCCTTGTTGCCAATCTGCTCACACGGCTTAGCCTGCTCCTCCACTTTAGAACCCACGGCCATGACTCTTTGAACCGCTCCTTGGCTTGTATTTGAGCCTTTGATGTTCAAGACCTCAAAACCGCCTGCTTCTAGCTCCAGAAATTTTGTCTCTGAACCAAGTTAGTTCCCTTGCATGGTCCAAAAACAGCTTGTACCCTTCACTCTCCTCTGCCAAGAACCCATGGTCTCCTTGTTCTTTGGTCAAAGCAACTTAAAAAGGATCATCAGTATTCAACTCCTCAAGCAGTTCATCAGTTAGTTGATCCATGGTCTCTACATAGAAGCATTGTCCTTCTATGGTGGGCTTTTTCATCATGTCCTTGATATCAAACTTCAGCTTTTCTTTACCAAGTTGTATCCCAATGATGCCACCTCTTACATCCATGATTGCTCCTGCTGTGGCCAAGAATGGCTTGCCCAAAATCAGTGGATCGACCGGTTCTTCATCCATCTCTAGAACAACAAAATCTGTAGGCACTTCAAAACCGCCTATCTAGACTGGCAAGTCCTCTAACATTCCAACAGGTAGCCTTACTGATCTATCAGCTAGGACAAGAGAGATTATAGCAGGTTTGAACACTCTATATTCAAGCTTTCTTGCTATAGAAAATGGCATTAAGCTGATAGATGCTCCCAATTTACAAAGGCAGCCAGCAAACATTAATGGACCTATAGCACAAGGGAAAGTGAAGCTCCCTGGATCAGACAGCTTCCTTGGGACTGAACTTCTCTGAATGAAGGCACTACACTCATGGCTAAGCACCACCATACCTTGAAGCTCTTTGTTTTTGTTCAAAATAGCATCTTTTAGAAACTTTCTAAGCTTAGGCATCATCAGAAATGCTTCAATGAGAGGCATTGTAATTGGTGTCTCATTAAGAGTTTTCTCAAAGAGTGCCCTTGCTTCATCTACAAGCTGCTTCTTGAATCTTCCTGGATATCGGAGCTTAGGTTGATAGGGAGGTGGTCGAACATAAGGCTTTTCTGGTTCTGATGGATTTTCAACCTCTTTGGCCGTCCCTTTCTTTGATCTTTCAGCTTCTTGATCATCCCTTGGGGCTGCCTCCTCACCAATTTGATCATTTTCCTCAATGATCACATTGTTGTGCTCTAAACCTGGTAGCTCTTTGCCACGTCTCAATGTAATGGCTTTAGCATACTCCTTTGGGTTTGGTTCAGGCTTACCAGGTAAGCTACCTGGCTTCTTGAAGTGGATGCCTGATTCTGTTTCACCTCCCTTATCTATTGCTGCATGGAAGCATACTGACTCTCAGCTCTTTGTTGACCCTGTAGCAACTGCTGTAGTATCCCACACATATCTGGTCTCATCTGCTGACTCTGAACTGGCGGTTGCTGGATCAAATGCTGCTGAACCATCGGCTGCTGATTGAAACCTGGAGGCGCTTTGAGCTGTTGTTGTTGAGAACTGAAGTTGCTGACCGGATCTGATGCTGTGGTTGACCATATTGTTGCTGAGGCTGACTGTGGCTTAGGCTGAAACGAACTCTGAAATTGGTTCTTAGAAGCATAGTTTTGTTGGTTTTGCTGAGAAGGGTACACCTGATCTTGAGGATTTGCTACATTGGGGTTGCGTTATGAGAGGTTCTGGTTGGCTCCAAAGTTGTTAAACCTCTGATACCTCTGTTGATTCCCAATATAGTTGATCTCTTCCTCTGTGAGGCCATCTTCATTGATGTTCTCAAAGCTTGGAGAATCATTAAACTCACCAACATAGTGCATTAATTTTTGAGAAACCAATTTCAGCTTTTATAGTTCACTTCTCAGCTCTTTAACCTCTCTAATAAGCCTTTGATCTGAGCTTGAACCCTCTGATCTGTTTGTCCTGTCATAATCCTCACCATATGTGTCAATAGACATGGCCAAATTCTCCACAAGTTCCATAGCAGATGTAATCTCTTTTGCCAAAAAATTACCATTGGAGGCTGTGTCTAATTGATTCCTTATCTGTGGTAAAGCTCCTCTATACAGTGTAGAAAGTAGAGAAGCATTAGAAAAACCATGGTGTGGACACTGATTGGTGTAGCTTCTAAACCGCTCCCAAGCTTCCGGAAAGCTTTCATTGTTATGTTACTTGAAGCTTGAAATCTGTTTTCTCAACTTAGCTGTCCTGGAAGTAGAGAAGAACTTGGATAAAAAGGCAAGCTTGCACTGCTCGCAAGTCTGTATAGAACCTCTAAGCAGGTTCTTCTCCCATTGGTGTGCCTTGTCTCCTAGACTGAATGGGAAAAGCCTAAGCTTGAAGCTATCTTCAGAGACACCATTGATTTTGGTGAGGTCACAAACTCTGTCAAACTGGTCTAGTGATAGACAAGACTTTTTAGGGTCTCAGGGCTATCAATCCCCTTGTCAATGTAGCACAAAGAGGTTTATCAATCCAGATGTGGTGTTAGACACTAAGCTATATGATCAAGTTCTTAATTCAAGCAAACAAGAGTGGGTCTTGATTAATCTAGAGACAACTATAAACATAAACAGGATTAAAGACTAATGACAATGACAAATGGTGTGAATAAGATATGATGGAGGTATGAGATTCTAGACATGATAGATGGTTAGGGTGCTTTGGTGTTAAACTAGGAATGCTAATGACAATGATGAGACATGATTCAAGTGATTAAGAACTCTAATCTATGTTAATCCTCTCATGAAGGTATTAACCCCTATACTAATCCATTTTCAAACCAAATTCCCATTTGTGAAATATGAATCAATATGCATTAATAAACAGTTCTCAATGATCATTCAAGCATTTAACAAATCATTCCCATGATGAAAAATTACTTAAACCTCTAACACAACTCTTTCAGGAATTTCATCAAACACTTTTGGTGCATGAAATTCCCAGAATCTAGATCTCAAGTGATTATCAAGAATCTAGCATAGAGAATAGTTGTTTAGAGAAATGAACTAATGAATCTAGCCCTAAACACTCCTAATCTAACACTTTAGCACCCTAACCTACACATCTAGAACCTCATTAAGGTAACTACTCACTAATCATGATCAACACACTAGATCCTTTGCAAGATGTGGTGTTAATCATGATTAGAAGTTGATTTTGATGAATAGAAATGATGAACAAGATGGAAAGAAACTGCAAATCGATTTAAACTCTCTAAAACAAAGTGTATTAAGTGGTTCTTCACAAAAGGGGGAAAAAAGACTAAAAGTAGATTAAGTCCTCCCTACAAATTAGGTCTAAAAACCTTATAAAGGAGGCTTGGGCGAACCGGGTCAACCCGGAACAAACCGGGTACTGACCCGGCCTTGATGGGCAAAGAAGGGTTTGCCACGGTCTGGTGCATCCTTGGTGTGACCGTGGCATTCCTGACCGTGTCAAAGTCTTTACTTGTGTTCTTGGTTCCTTTTGATGCCACGGTCTGATCAAGCTTCATCTGGGACTCGTGGCAAGTTAACCGTGTCAAACGCCGAAGATGTGTAAAGGTTGCCACGGTCAAGCCCCCAGACCGTGGCATTCAGACCGTGCCAAAACCCGCATGTATGTGAAGTCCTTCCCAGCCAAGTATATGCTTGCCACGGCCAAGTCTCAGGCCATGGCATTGAGATCGTGTCAAAAGTCGAAACTGTGTAGAAGTTATCTCCAGCCACTTGTTCATTTGCCACGGTCAAGTCCCAGACCGTGGCATTAAGCTCGTGCTAATCGCCGAAGGTTGCAAGATGTTGCCACGGCCAAGCCTCACACCGTGGCATTTATATCGTGTCATTGGCCGAAGGTGCACAAAAGTTGCCACGGCCAAGTGTGGACCGTGGCATTGAAATCGCGGCATGTTTAACTTAGTCATCCTGGGCTGTCTGGACCATCTCGCATTCCGGAGAGTGTAACTTCCTGGAGACCTGTCCGAATTGAGTAATTCCGGTTGCAGAAGACAGAGTAACTCCCTGGAGACCTGTCCGAATTGAGTAATTCCGGTTGCAGAAGACAGAGGACTCATTTATCTCCAACTTTGATCAAGGAAGTTTCAGTGCTTGGGAAGTGTAAGGTTTCCTGGAGGGCACATCTTTGAAGCGCATTTACACGACCAGAGGGAGGCGCCTAGGATGTTCTGGAAAGAAGACTCAAATGTCTCTGATTCTCATGAAGGCCCCGGAAACTGAATCGGCCTGGAAGTGCACCGTCCTTCGCATCCTTCAAGACTGATCTGCTCGGTCCGGAATACCTGCGAGACAGGGGTTCCTTCCGACTAGCTTATCTCTCTGCTCACGCGTCCGAATTCCACGATTCCACTTGCTATGAGACCGTGCTCCAATGCTCTCCAACTTCTATGAAGGACCCGCCGTCTGAATCGGACCGGAAGGCTCCCCGGACAGGCGATTTCTGAGACTCGTTCAAACCCGGAGATTTTGGCCGATACACTTCGTTCGTGGTACATGGAAATGGCCGGTAAAGCTTCCCGCGGTACATGAAAATGGCCGGTGAAACCTTCCTGGCCAGCGAGAATGGCCGAAAATCTCCCAAGACCTAATTTTTCCACTTTTTCACTCTTTGCTCACCATTCCACCTCCTGGATTCATCTTTTCAGCTCCATATTCACCTGATAGACACTCAAAACATGCAAAGACTCATTGGGACCTAATGCATCTCCTAAGTTCTAAAACAAACCCTAAGGACCTAAAATGCATGAAATAAAACATGATTTGGAATGATTTATGCAACCTAAATGATGCAAATTATGAACATATCAACTCCCCCACACTTGTCCTTTGCTTGTCCTCAAGCAAAAAGAGCAAATGAGAGAAAGAGGTTGTATGCAATGGGAGTTCACATTTTCTTTTTGAGAGAAGTGATCACAATGAGAATTCAAGTTCATGCTCAATTATGCAATGCAAAGTCATACTCTGATATATGTCAACTCAGCAAGGAATCTCCACAAGTTCTTCTCTCTCTCAACTCTTCCACATTTATTAAGCTTTTATCAGGTGAACCTCATGATGCAATGTTTAAACAAGCTGGCTTGGCTAGGGAGAGGCTATGAGATTAAAATGATCTCATCAGTGTTCAAGTGGGTTAAATGCAGCAAAGGGATCTCTCTATGAATGATCAAACTTTGGCAGAATGCTAAAGGTAAAAAGCAACCTATGCATACAAGGGCAAAGACTCATCACACCCCACCCTCTACTCAAAGCTTCCTCACTTGCTCAAAAATCCTCACTTTTCACTCTCATTTTCCTCTCACTAGGGGATTTACTTTTCACATTTCCTCTCAAGTCTTGGAACTCAAACTTTACACAGCTCTTTTTCTTTTACAACTTCTAGCCTCTTCTTTCTTTCTTAACAAAACATTTGAGCCTTTTGGCTTCTTTTCTTCCCTTTTTTTTTTTTTTTACTTAGAGGCTAGACTCTTTCTTTTCAACAAACCAGAGCTCACTTTCTCAAAACACCAAGACTGATTTCTTTTTTTTTTCTTTCATTCCCCTAGCTATTTTCCCTCTCTCTTTCCCACTCATCTCACCTTTTTCCACTCACCAAAAGGTCTTTTCCCCCACACTTATTCCTCGCCAAAACTCTCAGTTCCTTGATGTTGGAACACAGCACTCAATGAGACCTGCCCTTGTCGCTCTAAACCTAACACTTTCTGCTAAGTTTGATCCAAGGTGGCCTTTCAATTCACACACAAACATTGGCTTGAAAGAAGGATGGGTTCAAGGTATGGGAACTGATCCATGATGTGGATTCAGCTACTTGAGCTAAGGAAAAGAGTGGTAAAAACAATGGTTCTAGCTCAAGTATGTACATTGGTATCCACAAGCTTTTTCAAACAATGCATCACAAGATATTTTCAAGTCAGGTTCAAGGTTCCCACTTAATTAGAGTTGAGTTCAATTCAAACTTGCTTCTCAGATTCAAATCATTTCAGACTTTGCAAGCACAGAAAAAGATTCACAAGCATATTCAATTCAAGTTCTCAAAGTGATATACTCTCTAGAAAACCTATCATTACTCCCTGCAAGATGCAACCTATATGCAAATGCAATCTAGACTCAATCCTAAAAAATGAGAATGCAACTACATGATCATTTTTTTGGTTTTTATATGCACTTAGATGAGACTACATGAATATGCAACTAAAATGTGACTCAAGACTCAAAGTGTAAAATAAGAAAAGAGAAAACATGATTAGTAAAGGATGAAACTCCTCCCCCACACTTAAATAACACAGTCCCTTGTGTTATAAAAGTATGAGAAAGAAGTGAAACCAAAGCAAACAGGCAAAATGCAAAAGAAAAAGAAAGTCTACATGCTATTTACAAGGTTTTGAGTGTTTACCTCAATCGCTGAGGTCTGATCCCAAGTAATGGGATGGATTGGAGGTTGAACATGATGGGGTGGAATATCTGGGTGGGCTGCTCTCAGGTGAGTCTGGTTGGAACGCTGTGGCCGGATTCACCCAATCTTCTTTTCCTGGTGGTAGCGCAAGGTCATTGGCAGCTGTGCTTTCTCCCACCTCTTCGCTTGTATCTCGTTTGGGTGAGGTGGCTGGAGCTGTGAGCTTTTTAACCTTTTTCTTAAGCTGCCTAACACAGTCAACCAGCTTGTGGATCGTTTTGTCTTGCCATTTGCACCATTTCTGAAGGGTGTTAACTCTGGAATACAGCTTCCTTGTGTGATAGTCAGGCTCACCCCAAAAGTAAGGATCAAAGTGATACCTTCCTGCTCCCATCCTTCTTTCAAAATCTCTTGGCTCCTCATGCTCACAACCAGGGGTCCTAGTTGTGTCTTCCTCTTCAGCTGGCTCTTTACCCTTAGAATTAATTGGCTTCTTACATTTGGGAATTGGAGGGTGAATGGCTGAGTTGTAGAGCTGATCCTTGAGGACAATAAAGGAGACATTGTGCCTTTCTGTGAGAGTGGTGATGGCTGGGTTTGGCAACAGAACATGAACTTTTTCATCTTGCAAAAGCTTGAAGGTGTACAAGAAGTGTTCACCATTGCTCTCTTTTAGAAACCCAACCTTGGTGAGGGTAACTTCATCAATCAACCCAGGCCTGACTGCAACATTATCAAAGACAAAACCTCTTGCTTTCAGAATCCTTGTCACTAGCCATCCATTGTGCAGCTTAGTGAGCTTCTTTCTTTTACC